GTATATGTATATGTATATGTATATGTATATATGTACAAACAGAGTCACCATCGCGTTTTCACAATGAAGTATATGAACATGCACAACCCGCATATCAATGAACTGGTGCATATTGGTGTCGAACGTTCTATAGGGGTTTAGGGGGTTAAATACCCTAAACCCTAAAACAGAGCGTTACCAGACGCACCCATTTGTCTAATAGTGGTTTAGCGTAGCGTGCTTTTAGCAGGTACATAGTGTGAGAAGTGTAAAAGGCAATAAAGTTGCAATTTTTTCGAAACAATCGCACTAATTTAAACGGTAGCTACTAATTACATCTATTCAACAAATAGCTAGTATGCATTAATAGATAAAAATACTACTACCTCCCTCTAGATATAGAAGGGTGCTCCCACACAGTAAACGGATATACACAGTAGGAAGCATACACAGGCACAATAGCATGCACTCGTACGTAGCGAGCACTTTCCCATCCCCACAGACGTATGCATGTACAATGATCCTACCACACCCGGTGGATAGCAACTATTTACGTGTTTTCAGCACACCTTCGTACACGCGCGATAGATAAACACCTTCATATACTCAGTATAGATATACGTCACGAGTGCTGGCGCAACGATATACCTCACGACACATCTTGATATCGCCCACGAGGAGTAGGAGCACATCCACATTGAGCATGTCCTCGTACATGATCCTGCGGTTGATGTACGGCGTACATGAGTAGATGGAGATTAAATCGGGATAAAAACTGGAGTAATGAGCATCTCAAGAGTACATGTACTCGCGGTTGGAACTGATGATTGTAGACGAGTACCGAACTGTCATTTAAGTTGTTAAGTAGAGTTGAATACCATGGTCGCTTGTTGGGTAGATAACTACAATGTAGATGTGTTGGCGACAACGGGTTGATTTTTCATGAACCGCTATGCACAGAAACGGGACAGCACAATGTAGTTAGGCGGCGAGTGTGACTGAAAGGTACACATAGGTGTTCATGTTCACGCACAGATACCCACATAAACCATACACACACACATATATATATATATATACTGACATACACGCACACAACTACGGATACATACAACATGTACACTCACATGTACACTCACATGTACACTCCCATGTACACTGACATGTACTTTGACATGTACACTCACATGTACACTCACATGTACACTCACATGTACACTCACATGTACACTCACATGTACACTCACATGTACACTCACATGTACACTCACATGTACACTCACATGTACACTCACATGTACACTCACATGTACACTCACATGTACACTAACATCTACAGATGCGGGTGTAAACAACATATACGCTCATTTACATATAACATACAAAACATAATGTATGATATGAACATACAAACATATACAACATAAAAAACATAATGTATAATATGAAAATATAAAACATAGTAGATGAAACAGGCACACTCGTACCTATTCTGCATATCCGTAACTGCCATGCGCAGGAAACGGCCAGCTACTGTGACGATTGAGACGAATATACCCACGATTCCTAAATTGGCAATTGCCGAAAGCGCGCCAGAGTCCACCGGTTCGTTGAAGGTGATGATCTCAATACGACCGTCATCCTCTATGTCGGTAAACCGACTATGTGGGTGCCCATCTGTCAGGAGATTCAGATATACATATGAGTATGGAATACACAAGCACACACTTACGCACTTATACATGCACAGACACAGACACAGACACAGACACAGACACAGACATATATATATATATATATATATATATATATCTGTTTCTATTGAAGGTGATGACCTTTATTTGATCTTCAACTTTCATGTCGGTATACTGACTATGTGGGTGCACACCTGTAAGCTTTGAAACGCAAGCTTTTTGTAGTATATATAAGTATACATTTATCTCTTGCTCTCTCTCTTTCACACACGCACATAGAAACGGACTCTGACACAGACACGCACACACACACAGATATATATATATACACACACACACACATAATACATATATATATAAACATAAACATATATATATATATATATATATATATATATATATGTATCAATACATACATTTCATACCTCGCCAAAACGGTGTTTGTATGTGGCGGCGAATTTCGCGTCTGTACAGTCCTTGCGCAGAGGGGTTATCAATTAGGTCTTTAAGGTAACTGGTCTGCCGAAGCTCCCACCTGCCATATGCACATCATGGTCAACTCAGTAGGTATCCTTGCACGAATACACTTGTATGGATGCATATGTACATATTGTACTAGCATGGATATATATGAATAAAATAGCGTTATACTTTATAATATCAAAGTAGTGGAATAGCTTCTTACAAGATTATGAAGACTGAATATCTCGTAACCTTAACTTATATAGCCATAGACGTTTAACATATATATATATAGCCATAGACGTTTAACATATATATATATAGCCATAGACGTTTAACATATATATATATTCATACCATTCGTGATTGGGGCCTCCACTGTCTTCTGCATTGTTAACTAATCGAAGCGTCGCATTGGCATAGAAACTTCTATTTGTGGACACCGAGTTGATTTTTCCTATCAGGAAAATTGTGTGCATTGGGAGGTTGTAAGTTAAATGCAATTGAAAAGAATGGGCATACGCATATTACTTTATAAATGTCCACTTGTGCAGATATTGACAGGTATACGTCGTAATTATTCAAAACGTTCATCTATCTGCTTACATTTTGTTTGTTCAGACGTATCTATATACATACAGATGTGCATATCACATATACATATGCTGATTACGTAGTCAAATCATATATCTCTACACGTAGAGACGTTCAAGTCAATTTTATGTAGTCACATACAGAGGACTGTGCGAGTGATCATCCAATTTCACATAAATCAAACTAAGTCCATTCACACAGATATAGCTATTTCCACAACTGAATGAATACATAGAATAGGGCTGTATAGTAAATAGACTTATAGAAACAGGGATGTATATATATAGACTTATAGAACAGGGCTGTATAGTGTATAGACTAATATATCGGTAAACTACAAAAGTACGTCTGTGAGCACAATTTTCTTTCTAAATATACATACATACTGTTACAGATATATGCACATCAATATATAATGCTATACATATGTATACTAGAATAATTATACACATACATATCCCACGCTACACATATGTATGCACATATAGCATAACAGCAGATCTCATAATATAAATACACAAACATCCGCATTAAACACAACCTACCAGCGCCAGGCACGTATACAGCCATAGGAATAATCGTTTGCAGATCAATGTCGCTTGTTGTGTTGGAGTCAAACCCAACGGCGGTCGAAAGATTGTATCTGCACATGTATATGCACGTGTTCGTATAAGGCAAGACCAGTAGGTAAAGTGAGTGTGCACATACGAGTAGTAGGGATACAGCTACAAGCACGTCTATGGATGGTTAAGCATGACTATACCCATACCTGAAGGGCAAGGGTCGACATGTGAATATATGAAGAGATTGCGTCTGTAAGTATGCGACAAGGCGACGAGGCGTACAAGTGAAGGAAAGCATGTGTAGAAGAGTGCATGGGCATAAGCTATCAACTCTTATATTGCTACAAGTATCTATTTATACCTTATACCTACTCGGCTTCGGGGTAGCACTGCTATATATATATTCTATCTACCCATCTCAGAGTGAAATCCATGTATCTATTTATATCGTTTACCTACCTGGCTTCGGAGTGAACTTTCAGGACGTCCTGGAAAGACCCGTACACAGTGTCGTCCCTTTTGGCAGTCGATCCACCGGTAAAGTACTACATCAGGCAATGACGAGCGAGAGAATAACAAGAAGCAAACGATTTGATTGGATGAGAATCCCGCGATTCGGTGATATAAACAAGACAAAAGCCATTCGTCGTAGCAGAATTACATATGAAATGAGCGCTCGGATTACGATAGCGATGAACAAAAACAGATACCTAACACAGCCACACCCATATATATATTTGTATATATATACATACATACATACATACATACACACACACACACTATATATATATATATATATATATATATATATATATATATATATATGTATGTATATATGTATAGTTCAACTTACTTTCTGCACCGTTATTTCCACAGTTAGTGGGCAGGGCTCTTTCTCTCCCAATACTTTCTGCAGTTCGATACGCGACGGCGGCCTGAACCATTTGGAACGCCCAATTAAAAAAAGAAAGACCAATCAGCATCCACAATTTTGTCAAACGATGAATCAGAAGTACCGTGATGTGGGTGAGAATATAGATCAATGGCTAAGGTGAACGTGGGCGTACCCGCACATATTCACACACACTCACAGAGCGAGTTTAACAGCGACGCGTTGGTGAGGCAGCCACAGCTCATTGATACTTTTCGATGTGAGCAGTCGAGCGAATAAATATTAAATATCAATCGATGTACATGTAGCTATACACAGTAAACTGCTGATAATCGAGGTCCAGTTCTATTTTACTGTTGGATACATAGGCAAAAGACATACACAACAGTTGTGTATTTGGTATACGTATAGCTATACCCAGTAGACTGCTGACAATGCGAGGTCCAGTTCTATACTACTACAGGATACTTAGACAAAACACATACTTGTACTGTCATGATTGAATCGCAATGACATCGAGCACATATGCATATGCGTGTGCGTATCATATTGACACAAACATTTATATGTACACACAAGCACAAAGAGTTCAACTACGAAGATGTATACATATACGTGTGACTATCATATTGTCACATACATTTATATGTACACACATACACACAGAGTTCAACTACGAACATGTATACATCTACATGTGACTATCATATTGTCACATACATTTATATGTACACACATGGACACTGAGTTCAACTACGAACATGTACATATAAACGTGTGACTATCATATTGTCACATACATTTATATGTACACACATGAGCACTGAGTTCAACTACAAACATGTATACATACACGTGTGACTATCATATTGTCACATACGGTTATAGGTCTACACAAGCAAACTGAGACCCCGATACCCTCAGCCTACAAAGCGTCACTATATGGGCCATGGCGTATAGTACAATACATATAGGCAGGGTTTAGGGTTCAGGGTCAAATAATTGCTTGAGAAGGTATAGGGAAACTCGCCTTTGTGAACAACATGGGTGATTACGTAATCATGCGTATTGTTTATAAACACACACATATACTATAAAGCACATATACACGATAAAAAAAATTACCAAGATATGGACAATACAATGATGTGTATCGCATATCGGGCGTATCAACACAGTATGTAAACGTAAAAATATTATACAAAACGTATACCCGATACAAAAATGAGCGAGATTTGAACATACGTGATAGCCCACATTCTACGGCTTTCGGGTCTGAGTGTGACGACGTATACGTCTTTTGGCCGATACCCAACTGTGTTGAACTGATTTCTACGCAGAAAAGAAAGAAAGGACGAACCAACCAGGTTTTTTTAGGTAAAAATCAGTCCGAAAAAAAAATTGGGTCGGGTTGGGGCAAATTTAGCCTCAAATTTAAAGTGAGGGCATGTTGTTGTACAAAGTAAGTATGTATAAACCAGCACTCGTTTGAATATACCATGGGTTGATCCAGCACACGTATTCTTCCGGAAGAGAAATGATCATTACATATACTAATACATGAAAATATGTATCTGTATATTACATTCATATATATGCACATCATATGCATATGCATATACATATATATATATATATATCTAAGTGCATATACATATACATATACATATACATATACCTATACATATAAATATACATATACAAATACAAATACATATACATATACATATACATATACATATACATATACATATA